CACACAGATCCAATTTGGCATCCCAAAAAGAGCGAAGTAGACATTACATCTCCTGAGGTAATGAGAGTGAACGCACACAGCACCCTCTGTGAAGTACTGTTGGCTGAAAACCGGGTTTGTTTTATCAGAGCCTCTTGTTACAACTGCCGGTTTAAAGGAAATAGAAGGTATAGGGGAACACATGTACACTGCAGAGAGGACGCCATCAGCTCAACAGGAACAAAATGACCCAGTTTTTTCAGTGAACAAATGAGAGGGAGACACTTGTTAGAAATTCAAGATTTAAGAGTCATAGTAGCCAAGTGCAGTATATAGACCTTTTTGAATTTGATTTGAACAAACCACCTTTTTTTTTTTTTAAAACAGAGTCAGGGTCTTGCTCTGTTGCCCAGGCTGGTCTCGACCTTCTAGGCTCAGGTGATCCTCCCACCTCAGGCTCGCTCCCAAGGTGCATGAACCACCACAAACTGCTACAAACCAACTTCAAAAAAAAATGCCGGGCGTGGTGGCTCACACCTATAATCCCAGTCCTGTGGGAGGCCAGGGCAGGCAGATCACTTAAGGCCAGGAGATTGAGACCAGCCTGGCCTACATGGCTAAACCCTGTCTCTACTAAAAATACAAAAATTAGCCAGATGTGGTGTTGCATTTCTGTAATCGCCACTACTCGGGAGGTTAAGGCACAAGAATTGCTTGAACCCGGGAGGCAGAGGCTGCAGTGAGCTAAGATTGCGCCATCGCACTCCAGCCTGGGCACCAGAGTGAGACTCTATCTCAAAGAAAAACAAATATTATAGTAACCTGACATAGTGGCTTACACCTGTAATCCCTACACCTTGGGAGGTAGATGTGGGCGGATCACTTGAGCTGAGGAGTTTGAGAGCAGCCTAGCCAATGTGGTGAAACCCTGTCTCTACTAAAAATACAGCAATTACCCCGGCATGGCGGCATATGCCTGTAATCCCAGCCATCTGGGAAAGTGAGGCACGGGAATTGCTTGAACCCAAGAGACAGAGGCTGCAATGAGCCAAAATCACACCACTGTACTCCAGCCTGGGTGACAGAGTGAGACTGTCTCCAAAAAAAAAAATTTATATGGATCTCGACACACTGTTTCTAAAATGCATGTAAAAGAGCAAAGGGCTTTGTGTAGCTGTGATAACTTACAAAAACAATAGGTAGGGACAGTCATTGTACGGAATAGATGAAATCTGCAGTGATTAAGAGAGAATGGTGTTGGCATAGATAAACAATGACACCAGAAGCAGATCTTGAGAGAGAACATGGGTTTCTCAGAAACCCCGCCCGGCGTGCTGGTGTGTGCCTGTAGTCCCAGCCACTCAGGACTCTGAGCTGGAAGGATCCCTCACGCACAGGAGTTCGAGGCTGCAGTGAGCTGTGATTGCAACAATTTGAGACCCCTGTGTCTTTGGGGAGAACAGTGGTAGCAGGACACTTGTTCATTTATAAGGAAAAAATGTACATCCCTGCTCCTTATGTAAGTTCCAGATTTCCAGATACACTAAAGGCCAGAACTTTTCTGAAGAAGTTAAAGGTGAATATCTTTAAGATACTGGGATAAAAATAAGTTTTAAGTACAAAAAGCAAAAACCATAAGGGGAGAGAGAGACTGACACTTCTGATTACGTTATTTATTTGAAACATACATGTGTCAGAAACACCGTTAACAAAATAAAAAGACAAATTACAGAGCGGAAGAACATAATTTTAACACACATCAACGAAAACTTACTCAGATTATTTTAAAGCATTTCTCCAAATCAGTAAGAACCCTAGTAACCCATAGGCAGAAAGACAAATGAACAGGAAATTCATAGAAGAGAACACGAAATGTGCAGTAGTAAACGTGAAAGTAGGTTCCGTATCACTTGAGTCAGGAAGATTCACGTGAAACATCCAAAGCGTGTGTTATATTCGTGAGTTTGGCTAAAATGCAAATATTTTATCGTACTAAATGAACGTGAGGGAAACAAGATTGCTACTTAAAAAGTAGATATGGCCGGGCGCGGTGGCTCAAGCCTGTAATCCCAGCACTTTGGGAGGCCGAGGCGGGTGGATCACAAGGTCAAGAGATCGAGACCATCCTGGTCAACATGGTGAAACCCCGTCTCTACTAAAAAATACAAAAAAAATTAGCTGGGCATGGTGGTGCGTGCCTATAATCCCAGCTACTCAGGAGGCTGAGGCAGGAGAATTGCCTGAACCCAGGAGGCGGAGGTTGCGGTGAGCCGAGATCGCGCCATTGCACTCCAGCCTGGGTAACAAGAGCGAAACTCCGTCTCAAAAAAAAAAAAAAAAAAAAAACCAAGGAAAAAAAAAAAAGTAGATATAGGCCAGGTGCGGTGGCTTACTCCTGTAATCCCAGCACTTTGGGAGGCTGAGGTGGGCGGATCACTTGAGGTTGGGAGTTGGAGACCAGCCGGGCCAACGTGGTGAAACTACGTCTCTAATAAAAATACAAAAATTAGCCAGGCATGGTGGCAGGGCCGTAATCATAGCTACTCGGGAGGCTGAGGCAAGAGAATCTCTTGAACCTGGGAGGTGGAGGTTGCAGTGAGCTGAGATCACACCACTCCACGTTTTTAGCCTGGGCAACAGAGTAAGACTGTTTCAAAAAAAAAAAACCATTTTAGACAGCACCTTTTAAAAAATAACCTCATTGGAGCCGGGCATGGCTGTGCGTGCCTGTAGTCCCAGCTACTCAGGAGGCTGCGGCTGGAGGATCGCTTGAGCCCCAGCGAGAAGGAGTTCTGGGCTGTAGTGCGCTATGCCAACCGGGTGTCCGCACTAAGTTCAGCATCAATATGGTGACGTCCCGGAAGCGGGGGACCACCAGGTTGCCTAAGGAGGGGTGAACTGGCCCAGGTCGGAAACGGAGTAGGTCAGAGCTTCCGTGCTGATCAGTAGTGGGATCGCGCCTGTGAATAGCCACTGCACTCCAGCCTGGGCAACATAGCGAGGCCCCGTCTCTTTTAAAAATAATAATAATAATAACCTCATTGGAAATGATGGCCACCCATTGGACAATGCCTGATAGAGTTTGTATATATAGACTTCACTCCTATCTGGTAATTCTGTTGGATTCACATTGTAGAGAATCCTTACACACATGCTTGAGAAGACATATTTAAAAAAATTTTTTTAAAAAGATAAATTTGTCGATACTATTGTTTACAGACTTCTAAAATTGGAATCAAGGAGAATAATGAATTAAGCTGAAGAATAATTATACCATGAAATACGGTATTAACATTAATAAGATAAAATATTTAAGATTTGACAGTTTGGGGAATTCATTAATTTAGTTTTCTTTATGGTTGAAATTGTTCTTTTTTTCCCCCAGGAAAAAAAAAAATAAAAGTCGGTTTAGACAGTTTTTAGAGACTGAAAAAGAAAGAAAACTAATTTTTTAAACATTTAATGTTTTAAGGCCGGGCGCGGTGGATCAAGCCTGTAATCCCAGCACTTTGGGAGGCCGAGGCGGGTGGATCACGAGGTCAATAGATCGAGACCATCCAGGTCAACATGGTGAAACCCCGTCTCTACTAAAAATACAAAAAATTAGCTGGGCATGGTGGCACGTGCCTGTAATCCCAGCTACTCAGGAGGCTGAGGCAGGAGAATTGCCTGAACCCAGGAGGCGGAGGTTGCGGTGAGCCGAGATCGCGCCATTGCACTCCAGCCTGGGCAACAAGAGCCAAACTCTGTCTCAAAAAAAAAAAAAAAATTTAATGTGTTTTTAAAAAATTGATGATAGCAAACTTCATTAATTAAAAGAGATACAGATTAGCATCACAAATGAAAATAATTTAGGGACGAACACCCAAGTCACATGGAACTCAGCAGGGGTCGTGACTTGCTCACAGCAGCAGGCAGGCGAAGATCCGTCCGTTGTGGAACGGGGAAGGGAATCCCGGCTCTGTGCTGGCTTCTGCCCTGCATCCGTGCGCCTTGCTGTCCGGCCGTCTTGATTTTCTCCCTGCGTCTTTTCTTTGTCCCCAACCTCCTTGTTCCCAGCGAGTGGGGAGTGCCCCATGAGGCTGGGGGTGGAGTGCCGGGAGCCGGGAAAAAATCATCCCTGCCTTCCCGCTCCTCGCCAGTCTCAACGGCTGCCACCGCCCCCCCCCCCCCCCCCGCCCGTTCCCAGCCAAACTCTCACTCGCGGCGGGGCCTGCTGCCGGCTCGGGGGTGGGGTGGGGAGCAGACCACTGCCTGCCTGGATGCCTCCATAAGCACAGAACGGCAGGAGCTGGAGCGTGCATATAAAATCCGGTGTGTGTGTGGACTGAGAGGTCCTAAGAAGGCATTTGCGGTTGTCGCTTTTCCTAAGCAAAATATGGGAATGGGGCCGGGCGCGGTGGCTCACGCCTGTAATCCCAGCACTTTGGGAGGCCGAGGCGGGTGGATCACGAGGTCAAGAGATCGAGACCATCCTGGTCAACATGGTGAAACCCCGTCTCTACTAAAAATACAAAAAATTAGCTGGGCATGGTGGCACGTGCCTGTAATCCCAGCTACTCAGGAGGCTGAGGCAGGAGAATTGCCTGAACCCAGGAGGCGGAGGTTGCAGTGAGCCGAGATCGCGCCATTGCACTCCAGCCTGGGTAACAAGAGCCAAACTCCGTCTCAAAAAAAAAAAAAAAAAGATGGGAATGGCCTCGAGTCAGGCAAGAAGGGCGTCCTCTTGTAACTTGTGCTTTCTCCTCCGCCGGCTGCCCTTCTGTCGGCTTTTTGCCTTACTCCGCCCCGCCTCCCCCGCACTGTACCTGTCCTGCCACCTTCGTCCCCCACCTTGAGCTCAGTGTGAGGAAACAGGTTCAGTTAGTTTACGCTTTTCATAAAGCGTTCCAATCTATAGAAACATTCCAAGTACCAAGAAGGGGGTGGCGCCGGGAGCGGAGGTGGCTTCGCGGTTCTCCCGCAGGGACGATGGAACGCGCCGGCGTCTGGAGCTCACGCACCCTTTGTCTTCATTGCAGATCGAGCGAAGAGGAGAAAGCTCAGGGAAGAAAGGGCATGGCTGCTGGCTCAAGGGAAAGAGCTCCCCCCAGAACTTTCCCATCTGGACCCCAATTCTCCCATGAGGGAGGATAAAAGGGCGAAAGACCTGTGAGTATTTAGTAACAACGACAGGAGCGACTGATAGCATTTGTTCAGCACCCAGGCACCGCCCGGCACTGCTCAGCACACTCCGCGCTGATCCGCAGTACAGCCCTGTTGGGTCACATTGTCCCCATGTGGGAGTTCACGGGGTGGCCCTGCACTCACAGCTAGCCCTGGTGCCCTTCCTCAGGCACACAGACATGCCCAGCTGCCCTGGCCTCTGACACTTCCTGCCACACTCTGGGAGCAGAAGTGATACTTAACACTAAGCCCTTCCCTCCCTCATTCCCTTAATTTAATGAAATCAGAATCTGATTATGATGTGAATTAATTACGTCTTTGGAAATGTGAATAGCAGTTTATTCTTTTTTTTTTTTTTTTGAGACGGAGTTTCGTTACCCAGGCTGGAGTGCAATGGCGCGATCTTGGCTCACCGCAACCTCCGCCTCCTGGGTTCAGGCAATTCTCCTGCCTCAGCCTCCTGAATAGCTGGGATTACAGGCACGCGCCACCATGCCCAGCTAATGTTTTGTATTTTTAGTAGAGACGGGGTTTCACCATGTTGACCAGGATGGTCTCGATCTCTTGACCTTGTCATCCACCCACCTCGGCCTCCCAAAGTGCTGGGATTACAGGCGTGAGCCACCACACCCGGCTTATAGCAGTTTATTCTTTTTGAAGTAATGACTTCCTGTGATGTTACTAGGTACATGTGTCTTTACGCCTTACTAAAAACTCAGGAGGCAGATATTCAGTGTTGACCGGGTGCAGTGGCTCACTCCTGTCATCCTAGCACGTTGGGAGGCCAAGGCAGGTGGATCACCTGAGATCAGGACTTCAAGACCAGCCTGACCAACATGGAGAAACCCCGTCTCTACTAAAAATACAAAATTAGCCAGGTGTGGTAGCGCTTGCCTGTAATCCCAGCTACTCGGGAGGCTGAGGCAGAAGGATTACATGAACCGAGAGGTGGAGGTTGCGGTCAGCCAAGATTGCACCATTGCACTCCAGCCTGGGCAACAAGAGTGAAACTCCGTGCCAAAAAAAAAAAAAAAATCAGTGTTCATGAGCTCATTTATCATATGCTTTTTTTGGATTATTATTTAGATCACAAAAATATTCATAAGTAAGATAAAGCCTGCTTAAGAATGTGCTATAAGGCCGGGCGCAGTGGCTCAAGCCTGTAATCCCAGCACTTCGGGAGGCCAAGGCGGGTGGATCACTAGGTCAAGAGATCGAGACCATCCTGGTCAACATGGTGAAACCCTGTCTCTACTAAAAATACAAAAAATTAGCTGGGCATGGTGGCACGTGCCTGTAGTCCCAGCTGCTCAGGAGGCTGAGGCAGGAGAATTGCCTGATCCCAGGAGGCGGAGGTTGCAGTGAGCCAAGATCGCGCCATTGCACTCCAGCCTGGGTAACAAGAGCGAAACTCCGTCTCAAAAAAAAAAAAAAAGAATGTGCTATAAAGCCTGGACAACATAGCGAAACCTCACCTCTACCAAAAATGCAAAAATTTGCCAGGCATCGTGGCACACACCTGTAGTCCCAGCTATTCAGGAGGCTGAGGTGAGAGGGTCGCTGGTGCCCAGGAAATCACGGCTGCAGTGGGCTGCGATGACGCCACTTCACTCCAGCCAAGGCAACAGAGCGAGATCCTGCCTCAAAATAAGTAAATAAAATGAAAACGAACGTGCAGTGGAATAACTAGCATTCTGGAACCGTAAAGTTCGAGATCATCCAGGCCAACCCCACATTTTCTGGAGGAGAAAAGTGTCATTCCCGGTTAAGGTCCCCTGTCCTGCATTGGATTTCCAGGGAGTGTAACCTGTGGCACAGGTACATCTAAACCGCACTGTTAGGACTATTCCACCTCTGATTTCAGCTGTGTCTGCAATAGACCTGAGAGCGCAGGAGAGGAGGTGGTCAGAATTACTATTAATTTCTTATTTTATGATTTACAGCTTTGAGTTGGACGATGATTTCACTGCTATGTATAAAGGTGAGTTCCCATTCTCCAGTGTTCCGTTTCTGATGAAAGTTTTCGTCTGAGTGTGTCACTCAAGATCTCCTCTCTGGCTCTCAGTTCTAGATGTCGTAAAAGCTCACAAGGATTCCTGGCCCTTTTTGGAACCTGTGGATGAATCTTACGCTCCTAACTATTATCAGATTATTAAGGTAGAAGCAGTCTTTGCAATAATGCTTAGTGTGTATATCTTTCTTGGGTTTTGTCATTTGTTTCGTGTGTGTGTGTGTGTGTGTATTTATGTGTACACATATTTTTTTACTATATTTTTTCTTTTTTTTTGAGACGGAGTTTGGCTCTTGTTACCCAGGCTGGAGTGCAATGGCACGATCTCGGCTCACCGCAACCTCCGCCTCCTGGGTTCAGGCAATTCTCCTGCCTCAGCCTCCTGAGTAGCTGGGATTACAGGCATGTGCCACCATGCCCAGCTAATTTTTTGCACTTTTAGTAGAGACGGGGTTTCACCATGTTGACCAGGATGGTCTCGATCTCTTGACCTCGTGATCCACCTGCCTCGGCCTCCCAAAGTGCTGGGATTACAGGCTTGAGCCACTGCGCCCGGCTTCTATAGTTTTTCAAGTGTTGAAAGTTCATGTGATGTTTCTCATTTTATCTGTTACTCATTACAGACCAGCACTGCTGAATTCTCAATTCTCTCTCTCTCTCTCTCTCTCTCTCTCTCTCTCTCTCTGTCTCTCTGAAATGTTTTGCTTTCGGCATATTTTAACTCTAAAGAGATATGTGTCTCATTTAGGCCCCCATGGATATTTCCAGCATGGAGAAGAAACTGAATGGAGGTTTATACTGTACCAAGGAGGAGTTTGTAAATGACATGAAGACCATATTCAGGAATTGTCGAAAGTATAATGGGGAAAGTAGTGGTAAGCGGGGAAGGAGTTTGTGCTGGCTACGTGTCTGCTGAACCAATGTAATCAAGAATGAGAGGCTTTCTCCTTTAGAAACGCGCATCCTAGGACAGTCAACAGAATGTGTATGCAAAGCCGTGGGATTAACCATTCCAGCCACTTACACGGGTTTGGTTTGCTTTTGCTCGTTTGTTTTTGAGACGGAGTCTTACTCTGTCGCCCAGGCTGGAGTGCAGTGGTGCAGTCTCGGCTCACCGCAACCTCTGCCTCCTGGGTTCCAGCGATTCTCCTGCCTCAGCCTCACGAATAGCTGGGTTTACAGGCACCCACCGCCATGTCTGGCTAATTTTTGTATTTTTAGTAGAGACGGAGTTTTACCATGTTGGCCAGGCTAGTCTCGAACTCTTGACCTCGGGTGATATGCCCACCTCAGCCCCCGAAAGTGTCTGGATTACAAGTGTGAGCCACCGCGGCTGGCCCACTTACAGAGTGTTTCCCGGAGACGATCTCCTGCCCCACAGGACAAGAGAATGCAGCTGGCAGCTAACTGGCTCATCCTAGACACCGGGCTTGGTCTGGATAATACTGTGTGTGCCTCTCTAACCACTGACGGGACTGCCCCTAGATAGAGCTGAGTCTTCAGTCATCTGGAGAAGCTACTGAAGCAGATCTCTAATATTAAAGTAGAAATGGTTCTTTTTACTTTGGGTCATTTATGCATTAACTCAAAATGCCCTACTTAAAAACAGCAGATTCCGCAATGTTTTTATTTTGTATGTCTGCCATTTAGCCTTTAAGAATGAAATTTGTACTGGCTTTTTTTGTTTTTTTTTTTTTTTTTTTTTTTTTAGTTCTTTTGAGATGGGATCTCACTCTGTCACCCAAGCTGCAGTGCGGTAGCACAGACATGGCTCACTGCAACCTCTAATTCTTGGACTCAAGGGATCCTCCTCCCTTGGTCCCATAGTAGCTGGGACTTTGGGATATGCCACACCTGGCTAATGTGGTTTTGGTAGGGACGAGCCTCACTTCGTTACCCAGTCTGGTCTTGGAACTCCTGGGCTCAAGTGATCCTCCTGCCTTGGCTTCCCCAAATGCTGGGATTACCGGTGTAAGTTACCATGCTCAGCCTGGCTTGGTTTAATAGTCCTCCAGCCCCTGTCCCAAGCATGCCACCTTGGGCATCTCACAGAGAGGAACCATGTCGTCTTCATGTTGCATCCATACCTCTGCAATATAACATGCCGTAAAGGTGAATTCAACTCATAGTTTATACCCAGGTTGCAACTTTTATATATTAGAAGAATTGTCTTCTTTTTTTTTTTTTTTTTTTTTAAAGACGGGGTTTCACCATGTTGGTCAGGCTGGTCTTGAACTCCCGACCTCAGGTGATCTGCCCACCTTGGCCTCCAAAGTGCTTGGATTACAGGCGTGAGCCACCACGCCCGGCCCTAGAATTGTCTTTTGGAACCTCTATAGGTCAGTTTCTATCAACAGTTTCTGTAAACTATACCTAGAAACCAATCCTCCTGTCTTCCTGTAGAGTATACCAAGATGTCTGATAATTTAGAACGGTGTTTCCATCGGGCAATGATGAAGCATTTTCCTGGTGAAGACGGAGACACAGATGAGGAATTTTGGATTCGAGAGGATGAAAAGCGGGACAAGAGACGGAGTCGGGCCGGGCGAAGTGCGGGGAGCCATGTTTGGACCCGCTCCAGGGATCCCGAAGGGCCCGGCAGGAAACAGCAGCCCGTGGAGAATGGAGGGAAGTCTTTGCCCCCCACACGCCGAACCCCCTCTTCTGGGGACAGTCAGAGCAGCGGCTCCACACAGCCCCCGCGGGAGGCGGGCGCTTCCAATGGCCGAGGCTTTTCTCATCCTCTGCACTGTGGCGGAACGCCCAGCCAAGCACCGTTTTTAAACCAGATGGTAAGGAACAGGGTGGAGGCCGTTGCGGTGTCTCCTGGTTTGCGAGTTCGTAGGGATGTAAAGGCCATATTCAGTTAGTGCTTTCTCCCATCTCCAAAGTATTTCTGTATATAGGTGACATCTATTCCCCCTCAAGTCCTTCGTTTTATTTTATTTTCGTTTACTTTTTAATAGAGACAGCGTGTTGCTATGTTGTCTAGGCTGGTTGCAAACTCCTGACCTCAAGCAGTCATTTTGCCTCAGCCTCCCAAAGTGCTGGGACTATCGGCATGAGCCACTGTGCCCAGCCCCCTCCTTTATTCTAAATCCTCGTTTTTGTTAGTCATTTGAAATATGTATTCTCAATGTGGGCCAAGAAAATGGGATTTAAAAATACATCATCTGGCCGGGCGCGGTGGCTCAAGCCTGTAATCCCAGCACTTTGGGAGGCCGAGGCGGGTGGATCACGAGGTCAACAGATCGAGACCATCCTGGTCAACATGGTGAAACCCCGTCTCTACTAAAAATACTAAAAATTAGCTGGGCATGGTGGCACGTGCCTGTAGTCCCAGCTGCTCAGGAGGCCGAGGCAGGAGAATTGCTTGAACCCAGGAGGCGGAGGTTGCGGTGAGCGGAAATCATGCCACTGCACTCCAGCCTAGGTGACAGAGCCAGACTGCAGTGAGCCGAGATCGCGCCATTTCACTCCAGCCTGGGTCACAAGAGCGAAACTCCGTCTCAGAAAAAAAAAGACAGAGAGATTGAGAAACGCTGATTTAATCTTCTGTCTCCTGGCGCGGGAGGTTGCTTTGGGCTCACAGGCGAGCCCTGGTGTGGGGGGTGAGCACGTGTCCCGTCTCCGCGTCTCCATCCGAGGTCTAGTCGTCGGTTTGATTTTAGCAGTACCGTCATTTTCAGGAAAACCCTCGCTGTCAACCTCAAGTCTGTGTCTTTCCTTTTCCCCTTCTTGCTGTGCTCCACGTGCCGCAGAGGCCAGCGGTGCCGGGGACATTTGGGCCCCTGCGAGGATCGGACGCCGCCGCCTTGTACGGCTCCTCTGGAGTCCCGGAGCCGCACCCCGGGGATCCCGTGCAGCAGCGCCAGCCCTTCCCCATGCAGGTGAGCACCGTACTCGGCAGGGGCAGGCGCGGGGCGTCCCACAGCTGCGTTTCCGAGAAAAAGGCTCTTTCCAGGCTAAATGTCGCTGATCGTCTACTTCCCCGGAGAGTCTGTTCCCACAGAAACGCGTCAAAAGCCCACCTGATTCCGCGAGTCTGGTTAACTGTGCTGCCTTTTCTTGTTGCCAGCCTCCAGTGGGAATTAACAGCCACCGAGGACCCAGGCTGGGCACACCCGAAGACAAGCACATGTGTGGGGGGCTGACGCACCTTTCCGGCATGGGCCCACACCCTGGATCCTTGCAGCTCGGCCAGATGAGTGGCCCGAGTCAGGATGGAAGCCTGTATGCTCCGGCTCAGTTCCAGCCAGGATTCATTCCTCCCAGGCATGCGGGGGCTCCAGGCCAGCCGCCAGACTTCCCCGAAAGCTCCGAAATTCCTCCCAGCCACATGTATCGATCGTACAAATACCTGAATCGAGTACACTCTGCCGTCTGGAATGGGAACCACGGTGCTACAAACCCAGGACCCTTGGGCCCAGAGGAGAAGCCCCACGTGGGGCCCGGACCTTCTCACCAGCCTCGCGGTCTCGGTCACATGATGGATTCCCGAGTCATGAGACCACCTGTCCCCGCCAACCAGTGGACTGAACAATCAGGCTTCCTACCTCACGGCGTTCCTTCCTCAGGGTACATGCAGCCACCCTGCAAGTCTGCTGGACATCGGCTACAGCCACCTCCAGTGCCAGCACCCAGTTCTCTGTTTGGGGCGGCCACCCAGGCTCTGCGGGGGGTGCAGGGAGGGGACTCCATGATGGACAGCCCGGAGATGATCGCCATGCAACAGCTCTCCTCCCGCGTCTGCCCGCCAGGTGTGCCTTACCACCCCCACCAGCCCGCACCCCCCCATTTGCCCGGCCCTTTTCCGCAGGTTGCCCACTCAGCGTCCGTCAGTGTATCAGCCCCAAAGCCTGCCCTGGGCAACCCTGGGAGGGCACCGGAGAACAGTGAAACACAAGAGCCTGAGAATGACCAAGGTAATGCACCCTGTCGCGTTGGGCTCTCTAAGCTCTTGTTGCATGAGTCATCTTTTTACACAGCGTATCAAGCCAAGCGTCAGCTGGTGTCCAGCCGCTCTTTCGTGAACCCCTCGTGTTCGGGTCACTGTCCTCTTGATCCACAGATCTCAGAGCATTCCTGGTCGCAGTCCTGGCTGCTACACAGGTGGGCACTTGCTGTGCCAGGCACTCTTCCTGAGACTTTGTTTTTTTTTTTCTTTAAGACTGAGTCTCACTCTTGCCCGGGTTGGAGTGCAGTGGCATAGTCTCGGCTCACTGCAACCTCTGCCCCCTGGGTTCAAGCGATTCTCCTGTGTCAGCCTTCTGAGTAGTTGGGATTACAGGTATGCGCCACCACGCCCAGCTAATTTTTGTATTTTTAGTAGAGACAAGGTTTCACCATGTTAGCCAGGCTGGTCTCGAACTTCTGACCTCAGGTGATCTGCCCACCTTGGCCTCCCAAAGTGCTAGGATTACAGGTGTAAGCCACCGTGTCCCGCCTTCCTGAAACTTCTGTACCTTAACTCATTTATTCTCAGAATAAGCCTTGGAGACAGCTACTATTACTATCCTTCCTTTTACAGATGGAAAATTCAAGGCATGGAAATGTTAGATTATTTGCTCTCACTCAGCTGGTAAGTAGCAGAGCTGAGATTCGGGCCCAGACAGACTAGATCCCGCATCTGTGATCCACTCACCACGTCATCATACCTCCTCTAAAGAAGTGCTGTCAGCTGGGTGCACTTTTAGTGGATCACTTGAGCCCAGGAGTTTAAAACCAGCCTGGACAACAGAGTAAGACTGTCTCCGCTGAAAAATGAAAAAGATTAGCCAGTCATGGTGGCTCACACCTGTAATCCCATCTCTTTGTGAAGCCCACGCGGGCAGATCACCTGACGTCAGGAGTTCAAGACCAGCCTGACTGACATAGCAAAACCCAGTCTCTAATAAAAATACAAAAATTAGCCGGGCATGGTGGCAGGCGCCTGTAATCCCAGCTACTTGGAAGGCTGAAGAAGGAGAATCACTTGAACCTGGGAGGCAGAGGTCGCAGTGAGCCGAGATTGCAGTGAGCCGAAATAACTGCACTCCAGCCCAGGTGACAGTGTGAGACTCTGTCTCAAAAATAATAATAACCCATACTGAGATCTAGTAAGTTTTGCAGCAGTTTCTTAGAAATGCCGTTTTAAGAGGAGTAAACATTAAACTAAGGGAGAAAAATGGGGGAAAAACAGACTTTGCAATCAATGCGTATTTCTAGGATAGATATCTAGCATGCATGTAATTTTCTTCAGTATCTCGCAGGAGAATGGAGACACGTGGACTTTAAGGTAATAGATTCCTGGCCGGCGCGGTGGGTCACGCATGTAATCGCAGTTCTCTTGGAGGCTGAGGCAGGCAGATGAGGAGGTCAAGAGTTCGAGACCAGCCTGGCCAAGAATGATGAAACCTCCTCTCTACTAAAAATCTAAAAGTTAGCTGTGTGCAGTGGTGTGCGCCTGTGATCCCAGCTACTCGGGAGGCTGACGCAGGAGAATCTCTTGAACCTGGGAGGCAGAGGTTGCAGTGAGCCAAGATTGCACCACTGCACTCCAGCCTGGGCAACAGATCAAGACTCCGTTTCAAAATAAAACAAAAAGGGATAATAGATCTTTTTATCTTTTTGTGTTTCTCAGACCTGTAATCCCAACTACTTGGGAGTCTGAGGTGGAAGGATTGCTTGAACCCTGGAGTTCAAGGTTTCAGTGAGACGTGATCGCACCACTGCACTCCAGCCTGGGCAACAAAGTTGAAACTCTGACTCTTTAAAAAAAAAAAAAAAAGAAAAAAAATAGGGAAAACATTTCAGTGTTTCCTTTCTGGAAAGACCTACTTTGGTAACACCAGCTCTAGCAGCATTTTCTAATACTGGTTTCAAATGATTTCTGGAATTCAGAGCTTTACAAGAATCTTGTTTAGTTAAGTCTTGGATAAGTCTAGTTGCTAAGTTTAATGTTGACTGAATAATGGTTTTTCAGTTTCATTGTGTAATTTGTACCATGACTTTTAAGGCCAGCCTCAGGTAGCCTGAGCTATCGTAATAGCTCTTTAAAACTCGTTAAGAGTCTTTAACCTTGTTCTTCAGATCTGTGACCAGGATTGTAATTTGATCACACGTGGACAACTGCTGTCCTCTTAGAAAGATTATAAATAGATTATTTCGGCCGGGCAGTGGCTCACCCCTGTAATCTCAGCACTTTGGGAGGCCAGGGCGGGCAGACCACCTGAGGCTGATCTGACTTGGAGACCAGCCTGGCCAACATGGTGAAACCTCATCTCTACTAAAAATACAAAAAGGAGCTGGATGTGGTGGCGCATGCCTGTAATCCCAGCTACTTGGGAGGCTGAGGCAGGAGAATCTCTTGAACCCAGGAGGTGGTGGTTGCAGTGAGCCGACATCATCCCACTGCAACCCCAGCCTGGGCATCAGAGCAAGACACTGCCTCAAAAAAAAAAAAAAAAAAAAAATTTATATAGATACATACACATACTTACACACTATTGTACATGGTCTTAGTTAAGGCCATATTTGTGGGCTGAATAGTAAGGTAGAGAAGTCTGAAGATGTCACCAGGCGTAGGGGTCTAATAAACTAATTTGATTGGGCTTATCTATAGAATGTTAAAGATGCTTTTTGAGTTTTACTTAGTAGGCATCTTCAAGACATGCAGACGAAATGAATGTACTGACTCACCAGTGGTCGAGTCTGTGTGCGCCTGGAATCAGAGGACAGTGAGAGGGAGAAGTCCCTCCTCCTGTGGATCTTGTCTTCCCATGGGGCAGAAATCAGGGATTTGGCCTCCCCGCGTGCCAAGCATGCCCTGGGCTTTCTCGCTGTATGGAATTTTAAAGCTTCCCAGCGTGGCCAGCGATTCTGATGCCAGCCATCCCCTCGATGTGTTTCACGTGCGCCTGCCTGGAGTCCACGAGCCACAAGCCCTCTCTCGGCCTCTTACTAACTAGACAGCCCAGTTTAGGGAGGCACGGACGTTTCCATTCTCCGGCACACTCTAAGCGTGGCTCTGGAGGTGCGAGGTTTTACCTTTGTGTCCATGGGAGGGGTGAAAGGAAGTGTATCTTGACTCCTTTCAAGGACTCAAGTAACTTTCCAGCGGAGGCTTGAATCACCGCACATCCACCTCAGTCTGACTGTGTCATGTTCATTACATTTATATTGCCATTTCAGCTACTGAATTATTTTTTCTTTTTTTTTTTTGCAGCAGAGCCGTTGCCTGGCCTTGAAGAGAAGCCAGCAAGTGTTGGTACTTCAGAGGCGGTATACCTCAAACAACTACCTCACCCCACGCCTCCCCTACAGACTGACTGCACCAGGCAGAGCTCACCCCAAGAAAGGCGGGAAACATCGGGCCCGGAGCTCAAAACCAACTCCTCCGAATCCGCAGACAACTGTAAAGCAGCCAAGGGCAAGAATCCCTGGCCCTCGGATAGCAGCTACCCCAGCCCAGCCGCCCAAGGGTGCATGGGAGACCTCACCGCAGTGGCAGACAGGGGCACTCTACCTGAAAACGGAGTCATCGGGGAAGCATCTCCCTGCGGATCGGAGGGGAAGGGCCTTGGTAGTAGTGGTTCCGAAAAGCCGCTGTGCCCCAGAGGCAGAACGTTGCAGGAAACCATGCCATGCCCAGGACAGAACGCAGCGACACCGCCCAGCACAGACCCCGGCTTGATGGGAGGCCCTGTCAGCCAGTTCTCTCCGCTGTACATGCCTGGGCTGGAGTACCCAAATTCAGCTACTCATTACCACATCGGTCCCAGCCTGCAGGGCGTGGGCCCCATGATGGGAGGGAAGTCCTCAGCACCCCATCCCCAGCATTTCCCCCCGAGGGGCTTTCAGTCCAGCCACCCACATTCTGGAGGCTTTCCCCGGTACCGCCCCCCACAAGGAATGAGGTATCCCTACCACCCACCACCGCAGCCTTCTTACCACCACTATCAGCGGACTCCTTACTATCCGTGTCCACAGGGCTTTTCGGACTGGCAGAGACCTCTCCATCCCCAGGGAAGCCCGAGCGGACCCCCCGCCAGCCAGCCTCCCCCCCCGCGGTCTCTCTTCTCAGACAAGAATGCCATGGCCAGTCTGCCAGGCTGTGAGACACTGAATGCCGCCTTAACCTCTCCAGCCCACATGGATCCCGTGGCTGCTAAAGTCCCGAATGACGGGCAGAATCCTGGTCTGGAGGAAGAGAAGCTGGATGAATCTGTGGAGAGGCCGGAGAGTCCCAAAGAATTCTTAGACCTGGACAACCACAACGCAGCCACCAAGCGGCAGGGCGCGTTAGCAGGCGGCGAGTATCTGTACGGAGCGCCCCCGCCGGCGCTGAGTGCGGGAATGGGCTTCGCTTCGTCTGCGTTTCCCAACCACGGCGTGATGCTGCAGGCGGGGCCTCCCTATCCGCCCCAGCGGCCGGCCGGTCACTTTCAGCCCAGGCCTTACTCTTCCCCGATGGCTGCTCACCCACCTCACCACCCAGGGGCCCCCCAGCCCAACGGGCTCTCTCAGGAGGGCCCCGTGTATCGCTGCCAGGAAGAGGGCCTGGGTCACTTTCAAGCTGTGATGATGGAACAAATTGGCACTAGAAGTGGAATCAGGGGACCTTTCCAGGAAATGTACAGACCATCAGGGTAAGATTGCATGCGGGCCGTTCCCTGCAGAGAAAGAACAGATGGTGGTGGGTTTTATTTCTTTTATTTTTTTATTTTTATTTTTTAAGGCGGAGTTTCGCTCTTGTTACCCAGGCTGGAGTGCGATGGCGCGATCTCGGCTCACCGCAACCTCCGCCTCCTGGGTTCAGGCAATTCTCCTGCCTCAGCCTCCTGAGTAGCTGGGATTACAGGCACGTGCCACCATGTCCAGCTGACTTTTTTGTATTTTTAGTAGAGACGGGGTTTCACCATGTTGACCAGGATGGTCTCGATCTCTCGACCTCGTGATCCACCCGCCTCAGCCTCCCAAAGGGCTGGGATTATAGGCGTGAGCCACCGCGCCCGGCCTGTTTTTATTTATTTTTGAGACAGAGTCTCGCTGTGTCACCCAGGCTGGAGTGCAGTGGTGGCTCACTGCAGCATCGACCTCCCAGGCTGAAGGGTCCTCCAGCATCAGCCTTCTTTTTTGTTTTTTGGTTTTTTTTTTTGAGATGGAGTTTCACTCTTGTTGCCCAGGCTGGAGTGCAGTGGCGCGATCTCAGCACACCGCAACCTCTGCCTCCCGGGTTCAAAGAATTCTCCTGCCTCAGCCTCCCAAGTAGCTGGGACTACAGACATGTGCCACCATGCCCAGCTAATTTTTTGTATTTTTAGTAGAGATGGGGTTTCACCATGTTGGCCAGAATAGTCTCGATCTCTTGACCTTGTGATCCACCCACCTTGGCCTCCCAAAGTGCTGGGATTACAGGCGTAAGCCACCGTGTCCAGCCTGCATCAGCCTTCTAAGTAACTGGGACTACAGGCACATGCCACCATGCCCGACTAATTTTTTTTTTTTTTTAGAGGTAGGGTTTCACCATGTTACCCAGGCTGGTCTCGATCTCCTGAGTGCAAGTCGTCCTCCTGCCTCAGCTTCCCAAAATGCTGAGCTGACAGGCGTAAGTCACCACAGCCAGCCTGGATGTTCATTTTAAGCAGAAAAATGGCGTCAGAGATGAAGATAATAGTTAATAATCTGGGAACAAGAAAAGCATGTGAATTATCAGTGTTGCACGCTTGGTAGAAAGATATTAGACGTAGAGCCCAGCTTTATTTTTTCCCCTCATGAAAATGAATTGGCATTTAAATGACTGAGTTAGATTTTGATATTGTAAACTTTTTTTTTTTTTGAGACGCATCTCCCTGGAGTGCAATGGTGTGATCTGGGCTCACTGCAACCTCTGCCTCCCAGGTTCAAGCTATTCTCCAACCTCAGCCTCCCAAGTAGTTGGGATTACAGGTGCCCACCATCGTGCCCAGCTAATTCTTGTATTTTTAGTAGAGACAGGATTTCACCATATTGGTCAGGCTGGCCTCAAACTCCTGACCTCAGGTGATCCACCCGCCTCAGCCTCCCAGAGTGCTGGGATTACAGGTGTGAGCCACCACGCCTGGCCAGCTTTTTAATTTAATTTTATTTTATTGAGATTCAGTCTCATTCTTTGGCCCAGGCTGGAATGCAGTGGTGCGATCTCTGCTCACTGCAGGCTCCACCTCCCAAGTTCAAGCGACTCTCCTGCCTCATCCTCCCAAGTGGCTGGGATCATAGGTGCCCACCACCATGCCCAGCTAATCTTGCTGTAAGCTTAGTAACCACAGTCTGAGAGCTGTAAGCAAGTCTGCGTCAACATTGCTGCCATGTGCAGACGCTCTGACCAAGATTAAAAAAAAAAAAAGGAAAAAATAGGTTTACCCAGGAGTAAAAAAAAGATCATATGTCATATTAAAGTTTTGTGGCCGGGCGTGGTGGCTCATGCCTGTAATCCAAGCACTTTGGAGGCCAAGGCGGGAGGATCACCTGAAGTCGGGAGTTCAAGACCAGCCTGACCAACATGGTGAAACCCCGTCTTTAAAAAATAAATAGTAATAATAAAATACAAAAATTAGCTGGGTGTGGTGAAGTGCACCTGTAGTCCCAGCTACTCCGGAGGCTGAGGCAGGAGAATTGCTTGAACCTGGGAGGTGGAGGTTGCAGTGAGCCGAGATCGCACCATTGCTCTCCAGCCTGGGCAACAGAGCGAGACTCCGTCTCAAAAGAAGAAAAAAGTTTTACTACGTATCTCTCATTTCTTACTATATCATTGAGTAAGAAAACCAGTTTTGGGCTCGGCGCGGTGGCTGACGCCTGTAATCCTAGCACTTTGGGAGGCCGAGGTGGGTGGATCACCTGAGGTCAGGAGTTCAAGACCAGCCTGGCCATCATGATGAAACCCCATCTTAAAAAAAAAGAAAAGAAAAAAAACCAGTTTTATCCAGAATGAAGTAAGTCTCCATGAGACGACTTTCACGCATGATTGTGCAGTGATGTTTTCAGGATCCAGTTAGGTGATCTGTCATCCAGGAATTTTTGAAATCTGTGTATACCGAAGGTGGTTAGATGGAGTTATTTATATGAAAGTTAAGAAGCATAATTCTGAAACCAGTACCATTCAGCATGAAAACCAGTGTGCCCGGCCGGGCGCGGTGGCTCACGCCTGTCATCCCAGCACTTTGGGAGGCCGAGGCAGGTGGATCACGAGGTCAAGAGATCGAGACCATCCCGGTCAACGTGGTGAAACCCCGTCTCTACTAAAAAATACAAAAATTAGCTGGGCATGGTGGCGCGTGCCTGTAATCCCAGCTACTCAGGAGGCTGAGGCAGAAGAATTGCCTGAACCCAGGAGGCGGAGGCTGCGGTGAGCCGAGATCGCGCCATCGCACTCCAGCCTGGGTAACAAGAGCGAAACTCCGTCTCAAAAAAAAAAAAAAAAACCAGTGTCCCCCTCACTGCCACTCTGTTGCCTTGCTGCTGGACCCTCTCTGTCGTTTTTGGTTATATGTGCTTTATGCGTCTCTAAATACCTGTTTTCTTTTCTTTGCTGTTTTTCCTAAGCTGTTGGAAAGTTAATTGTAACCCTCAACTCCCTCATTACTCTTGAACTCCTGACCTCAGGTGATCTGCATCTTCTAAGAGTGGACATTCCTTGTAGAACCATTTCAAAACGATTACCACACTCAAGGCAAATAACAATATCTAAAAGGTTTTTTCTTTTTTTTTTCCTGAGACGGAGTCTCGCTTTGTCACCAGGCTGGAGTGCAGTGGCACCATCTGCTCACCGCAACCTCCGTCTCCTGTGCTCCTGAGTTTGAGCGATTCTCCTGCCTCAGCCTCCCGAGTAGCTGGGATTACAGGCACGCACCACCATGCCCAGCTAATTTTTTAGTATTTTTAGTAGAGACGGGGTTTCACCATGATGACCAGGATGGTCTCGATCTGTCGACCTCGCGATCCACCGGCCTCGGCCTCCCAAAGTGCTGGGATTACATGCTTGAGCCACCGCGCCCGGCCATTTTAAAATTTTTATTAGAGACAAGGTTTCACCATGATGACCAGGATGGCCTCAGTCTCTGGACCTCGTGATCCGCGTGCCTCGGCCTCCCAAAGTGCTGGGATTACAGGCGTGAGCCCCCGCACCGGGCCTATGGTTGTTTGTATTTCTGTTTCCTCAGTTGTCCCCAGAGTGTCTGTTTTGATTTTTGTGGTGAGGTTTTTTTGTATTTTTTTAGTAGAGACAGGGTTTCACGTGTTGGCCAGGATGTTCTCAATCTCTTGACCTCATGATCCATCTGCCTTGGCCTCCTGAGGTGCTGAGATTATAGGCATGAGCCACCGCGCCGGCCTTTTTTTTTTAAATGGAGTTTTGCTCTTGTCACCCAGGCTGGAGTGCCATGGCATGATCCCGGCTCACCGCAACCTCTCCCTCCCAGGTTCAAGCAATTCTCCCGCCTCAGCCTCCTGAGTAGCTGGGATTACAGGCACACGCCACCACACATGACTCTCGATTTTGTGTTTTTAGTAGAGACGGGGTTTCACCATCTTGGTCAGGCTGGTCTCGAACTCCTGACCTCAGGTGATCTGTCCACTTTGACCTCCCTCCCAAAGTGCTGGATTACAGGCACGTGCCGCCACACTCGGCCCTGGAGTGTCTTTTAAAGCCATTTCTTTGTGGGGTTTTTTTGTTTTTTTTTTTTTTTTTTGAGACGGAGTTTCACTCTTGTTACCCAGGCTGGAGTGCAATGGCGCGATCTCAGCTCACCGCAACCTCCGCCTCCTGGGTTCAGGCAATTCTCCTTCCTCAGCCTCCTGAGTAGCTGGGATTACAGGCACGCACCACCATGCCCAGCTAATTTTTTTTTGTATTTTTAGTAGAGACGGGGTTTCACCATGTTGACCAGGATGGTCTCGATCTCTCGACCTCGTGATCCACCCGCCTTGGCCTCCCAAAGTGCTGGGATTACAGGCTTGAGCCACCGCGCCCGGCCATTCTTTGTGTTTTATTTTTATTTATTTATTTATTTTCTGATAAAAGATCCAGTAAAGGCTCATTTGGCTGCTATGTCAGTGCTCTCTCTTAATTCATAGTCATCCTATTTGCTTTGTTTTCCAAACAGTCCAGACCAGTTCTCATGGAGAATGTTCCAGATTCTAGATTTATCACAGTCTCCTTGTGTTTAGATGAAACACTTGCGCCAGCTGTGGTGGCTCATACCTACAATCCCAGCACTTTGGGAGGCTGAGGCAGGAAGATTGCTTAAGCTCAGAAGTTGGAGACCAGCCTGGGCAACGTGGCGAGATTCTGGCTCTACTGAAAATAAGGAGCTTAGCCAGGTCTGGTAGCATACACCTGTAGTTCCGGCTACTCGGGAGGGTGAGGCAGGAGGATCACTGGAGCCTGGAAGATGGAGGCTGTAGGAAACCACGATCCTGCCACTACACTCTGAACAGGGTGGCAGAGCAAGACCCTGTGTCTAAAAGCAAAAAAAAAAAAAAACCGATGAAACACTTTGATCAGGAGTATACGTAGGTGGTGTGCCTGCCACGTGTTGCACCAGGTGGTCCAGAGTGTCCAATTGTCCCAGCGTCAACGACTCCAGGCCTGCTCACCTGGGTGGTGAAGGCAGTGCCCTCGGGCTGCAGTGTCCCGTTTCTTTTGTCACTAGTACGTGTTCGGTAATTCTTTGTGGCTTCTCTCTCCGGCTGTAGAATGCAGACGCACCCGGTCCAGTCCCAAGCCTCGTTCCCAAAGACCCCCGCAGCGGCAGCACCGAGGGAGGAGCTGCCGCCCCACAAGCCTCCAGCGCTTCCCCCGGATCAGGTAAGCATCACTCAACTTAGAGCTGCCCTCCTTCCTCCGGGCGGAAGGCCGGAGGTGTGCGGCATCCCTGCTGTCGCGGAAAGGCGTTTGTTTGTTTGTTTGTTTGTTTTTGTTTTTGTTTTTGAGACGGAGTTTCGCTCTCATTACCCAGGCTGGAGTGCAATGGCGCGATCTCAGCTCACCGCAACCTCCGCCTCCTGGGTTCAGGCAATTCTCCTGCCTCAGCCTCCCGAGTAGCTGGGATTACAGGCACACGCCACCATGCCCAGCTAATTTTTTGTATTTTTAGCAGAAACGGGGTTTCACCATGTTGACCAGGACGGTCTCGATCTCTTGACCTCGTGATCCACCCGCCTCGGCCTCCCAAAGTGCTGGGATGACAGGCTTGAGCCACCGCGCCCGGCAGAAAGGCGTTTGAAGGTGTCCTGCGATACAGGAACTTTGCCTGCGGAGTGCTTCCTTGGCACGGGGGACGGAGACACTTCTCGCCTGTCGCTTTTCCCCATCGTTACGTGGAACGCACACCTGTTTGGGGAGTATTGACCCCTTATTTTTTCCCCACCCGTCTGCCAGCATTCCTTCGGTCACGATCCCCTGCCTGTTTAACGCTTCCCACCGTTCTCACCGGTGACAGCCGGGTCGGCACGGTTCAGAGTGCGGCTGCTGTCCCAGGCCCTGCGCCGGCGGCGTGTCCCGTCGTCTGCCCCTTGACCCTCACAGAGCGGTTGTCCTTGGCTGCGTCATGAGCATTTCCCAATGTGCACGTCTTCCTCTGTTAAGCAGCGGGGCCGGGATCGGAACTGGGGGGTCGAGGACTCTCGAGCCTACCCTCTGGAAGGAAACGGTAGCTCATGAAACAGAATCAAGCCGTTTTCCCAGATGAGGAGCATGGATACTCTCTGGCTTACTTGGCGTTGTTTTGTGTTGTCTTGTGTTTTAACAATTAAAACAATTTTTACTTTTGTTTAAAATGTCTTTGTGGCCGGGCGCGGTGGCTCACGCCTGTAATCCCAGCACTTTGGGAGGCCGAGGCGGGCGGATACGAGGTCGAGACTTGATGGAGACCGTCCTGGCCAACATGGTGAAACCCCGTCTCTACTTAGCTGGGCATGGTGGCACGTGCCTGTCATCCCAGCTACTCAGGAGGCTGAGGCAGGAGAATTGCCTGAACCCAGGAGGCGGAGGTTGCGGTGAGCCGAGATCGCGCCACTGCACTCCAGCCTGGTGCCTGGTGACAGAGCGAGACTGTTTCCAAAAGAAAAAAAAAAATTGTCTTTATTTCTTTCAGAGCTAGTCCAAGGAGGAAATGAGCCCCAAGCAATGGAAGCTGCACACGAAGACTTGGAACGCGGAGAACTGGGGAGGGCCCCGCCAGCTCTGCTCCCATCACCTGCTCCACCCCTTCACGTGACCCACCTGTGCCATCCTTGAGCTGGAGCCAGTCATGGGCCCTAAAAGGACACTCCTTAGATGACTGACACACAGCTCGCAAAGGTCCTTGGCCAGGGATCTCTTGCACGGCTGCTGTAGACAGTTAGGCAGAACAAATGGACGTGGAGTTAATGATGACTTTTCCAAATCCTGAGTCACTTTTCAGGGAAAATCACTTTAAACTTGGGGGCGGGGGTATACTCAAGAAAGGAGTGGTGCTTTTAAACTTTGACGAGCAGCTAAACTCAGGTATATATTTGGGGAAGGGACTACTGGTGGTAGTAATGGTTTGGAGCTGGGTCCAGTTTACAGAATTTTCATGTTGCCTTTTAAAATAATTTTTGTTGGTGGTGAATGTATTGTACATAAAAGTGGGAAGGGTGGGTGGGGATGCGGAAGAAATGGGAGTCCTGACTGGTGGGTACACAGCACTGGAGTGATCTTTATCTGTTTACAATCATGTCACACTGAGTACTTCTGGGAGCTGGAGACGAGGGCAGGAAGGGTTTGATCTTGTAATACGTCACTGTGTTCCCTTGCCGGCTGGCCAGCCTTCAGAATAGCTAAAGGCTGGCCTTCCAGTCAGCCTGGAAGGGAACACCTGTCCCCTCGCCATCTGCTGTCTGTCTCCGTTGGACGCAGCGTGCTCTCGGGACTACTGGAAGCTTCAGCCCAGGAGACGGGCTGCTAGCTCACTCTGGTGGCCCAAATCCTGGATGTGAGACAGGGGTGTCCCTTCCTGGTTTTGCCACCAGCCCTACCGAATAGTCGTAAACCAGCATCAGGAATTGGGATGGCTGGCGTGTTTCATGTATTAGAAGATGAGCCATGCCCATCACAGACCTCCCTGTCGGGCCTGTGGTCTAGAAGGCGCCACACACAGCTTTCTGGCACCGATCACATTTTGTGGAAGTGACTACTCAGGTTTGTATATTTTAGTATCAATAAAGAATTGCACAGGTTTGAATAGGAAAAATGTATTCTATAGATTTACAGTTTGAATTTAGGAATATTTCAGTATATATAGTTTTTATTCATTTTAAGTGAATCATAGTAAAATCAGTCATGGTGATTTACAATAGCTATCAAGAAGTTCTTGGAATTATTTGTCGTATCTGTGATAGGAAACCATCGTACAGTATTAAATTACTTTATTACAGTTTTAGGATTGAATTACACTGGATTCTCCCTCGTTAGCATTCTGTATTTGATTTTAGCTGAGAGGTCACCAAAGTTAGGACCCTGTTTTAAATTTTTGAATATCACACGGAAGAAAAACTAAGGAAAATACTGAAATTACAGGTCTTTGTAAAAAATAGCATATTTTTAAGCATGCTTTTGGGATGGTAGTAGAGCCTCTATGAAATGTTAATCTGCCCTAGTTTCTTATAAATTCAGCTGTGGGAGGGGCCAGAAGAGTTTTCCCTCCAATTCCAGGATTCCTAGTGAAACATGGAACGGTCGTGTTTACAGTTTGCTAAACATACGCTGTCCGTGGAAAGGAAACTGATCGGAAACATCCGTGATACAGAGATGAAACCCAAGACACCAGTTCCCGGATGATGGAAGTTTGTACCCGCACGCAAACGCTTAACCTGGTGGTGCTGCATAGGGCTCAGGCAGATTTGAGAGTTGAATAGGGAACACAGATGCCTCTTAGAGATAATGCACAAAAATACGGATTTTCTCTCACAGAGGTTTTCCTCTGAAATTTGATGTATTTGCAGCTGGCTTGAGTTTTGAGCCTGTGTTCTCGCTGGCTCTTAATTCTTGTTAGAAACCTATCACTGGCGTAACCCGTTGAGAGTGAAGAAGACCGAAGGTTTGTGGCTGGGTCTGCCCCTTGGGTAGTATCTGCTGACGTGGAGCATTACAGCTTCCGTGTCTGGGTTTGTGCAGAAGCAGGGACAAGGAAAAAGCATTTCGTTTGTTGCTGGTTAGACCTGGCGTAGACATAGAGAATTTGGCCGCCGACAGCCTTTCTCTTTTCCTGGTAATGCTGGTTCAGGTCAGAGGCCTGACTTCTCCCTAACAAGAGCATTGTCACCATGGGCACCTCCCTCCTTCCACCCTCCTGGTCCTTGAGCGGTTGTGCGCGCACTGTCCCAGGTCACCCTGCCTCCTCCCTCTCCCAGTGCCCGCCCAATCACCTGTTGCTGGAGCAGTGCTGTGAACAATACAGGAGGAGTCAGTAAATCCCTTTATCCTTAATCTCCCTTGGTTTTAGGCGGCAGATACCGAGGAAGAGCCATAGGAACTAGAACCACTGTATTAAATGGTGACACTGAACAGGAGCAGCGGCGCGCTCAGCCCTTGTGCATCCCGGGTGGGAGTGTGTCCGGGGCGCGTGCTGAGCTGTTACTGGTCTTGGAATTGCAGAGCTGCTGTGAGCCGTCTGCAGCTGCCACGTTGCAGAAATCCCTCTGGTCCTGAGCCGCTGTGAACCCCTAGTCAACGCAACCACAGGCAGGATCTTTCTCTCGCCTTTTCCTCCTCTAGCACTTCTCTCTCCAAGCGTCTCCAGCAGATGCAAACGCATTTGCCGCCATCTCCGTTAGGAAAAGGCCGGTTATGTGTCATCGTTAGACAGTAGTGTGTAAGGCGTCCTGAAACGGTTTGCTCTCAAGCTAGAAGGACATTTCACGCTGTGGATCACTGTCAACCTTGTCAGTGGGCCAGCTCTCAGTGGTCCCCAGGAGGGCAGGGATGGCTGAGATCCATGGAGAATTGGAAATGCCATCACACCTCTTTAACACTCATGGCTCGCTTTTATTAGAGTTGTTAATGAGTTAGAAACGTGTTTCCCCAAGACCCAAGAGAAAGAAAAGGTGAGCTGCTTGGGAGGATTCTGGCTTTCTTTTCCCCTCAGAATGAAAAAGTAATTTTTAATTCAGCTACTGTTTCCCTTCATTTAAAAGGTGGTAGGAGCGGCCAGGGGCGGTGGTGCACACCTGTAATCCCAGCTTTTTGGGAGGCTGAGGTGGGCGGATCACAAGGCCAGGAGATCAAAACCATCCTGGCTAACATGGTGAAACCCCATCTCTACTAAAAATACAAAAAGCCGAGTGTGGGCCGGGCGCGGTGGCTCACACCTGTAATCCCAGCACTTTGGGAGGCCGAGGCGGGTGGATCACGAGGTCAAGAGATTGAGACCATCCTGGTCAACGTGGTGAAACCCCATCTCTAGTAGAAACACAAAAAAGTAGCTGGGCATGGTGGCACGTGCCTGTAGTCCCAGCTGCTCAGGAGGCTGACGCAGGAGAATTGCCTGAACCCAGGAGGTGGAGGTTGCAGTGAGCAGAAATCAGGGCGACAGAGTGAGACTCCATCTCAAAAAAAAAAAAAGTAGCAGGAGCTATTGGCTAAAACTTATTAGAGGGGATGAATGTGGAGAATAAAGTAAGAGCAAACCCTGCAGGCTTCTTGCTAATGTGACTTTCCCTCCCACCTCTCTGTCTCTCCATCCCGTGCCCTCATCAGGTTGGTTTAGTAGTTGATGCTTGTACACGCGAGCTGCTAACAGTTTGTCTCGTCAGTGAGCCCAGGATAGGTGCCCAGAAGGCGAAGCCTCATCAGGCTCCCTTCATCGGCCTTAATGAAGACCCTGAGACCTGCAGCCCAGCCCCTCAGTTCAGTCAAGGCTCAGCTTTAAACGTCGATTTGCTCTAGCTTCTTCCCCGAAAGTGCTGCTTGTCACTGAGCGTTTGGTGTTAACATCCCATGGCATTTATCTGCTGTGTCGTTATTAACTATTATTTTTGTTAATTCCTACAGCTGGCAAAAGGCCCACAAATCCCAGTGTTGCTGTCACCAAAGCTGTCAGAAACAAGCTTACAATCCATACCTCTTGGTTTGATTTTTTTCTTTTTTTTTTTTTTAAAGATGGGGTTTCACTCTGATGGCCAGGCTGGTCTTGAACTCCTGACCTCAGGTGATCCACCCACCTCGGCCTCCCAAACTGCTATGATTACAGGCCTGAGCCACCGCACCTGACCTTTTTTTTTTTTTTGAGACGGAGTTTCACTCTTGTTACCCGGGCTGGAATGCAATGGCGCGATCTCCGCTCACTGCAACCTCCGCCTCCTGGGTTCAGGCAATTCTCCTGCCTCAGCCTCCTGAGTAGCTGGCATTACAGGCACGCGCCACCACGCCCAGCTAAATTTTTATCTTTTTAGTAGAGACGGGGTTTCACCATGTTGACCAGGATGATCTCGATCTCTTGACCTCGTGATCCACCTGCCTCGGCCTCCCAAAGTGCTGGGATTAACAGGCGTGAGCCACCGCGCCCGGCCCTTTTTTTTTTTTTTTTTTTTTTTTTTTTTTTTTTTTTTTAATGAAAATTCAGCCTTGCGCAGTGGCTCACGCCTGTAATCCTAGCACTTTAGGAGGCTGAGGCGGGCGGATCATCTGAGGTCAGGAGTTCGAGACCATCCTGACCAGTATGGTGAAACCCCATCTTTAAAAAAAAAAAAAAATTTTTTTTTTTTTTTTTTTTTTTTTTTTTTGAGACGGAGTTTCACTCTTGTTACCCAGGCTGGAGTACAATGGCGCGATCTCAGCTCACCGCAACCTCCACCTCCTGGGTTCAGGCAATTCTCCTGCCTCAGCCTCCTGAGTAGCTGGGATTACAGGCACGTGCCACCATGCCCAGCTAATTTTTTGTATTTTTTAGTAGAGACGGGGTTTCACCGTGTTGACCAGGATGGTCTCGATCTCTTGACCTTGTGATCCACCCGCCTCGGCCTCCCAAAGTGCTGGGATTACAGGCTTGAGCCACTGTGCCCGGCCTAAAAAAAATTTTTTTTAAAGTTCAAACTATAAATATGACACTGTTCTTAAGACCTAATTTGAAATTTCACAGGAAGGCTTAATCCTACAGTCACAAGGTAAGGACAGTTCCATAGTGTCAGAACCCCGACACGCTGCCAGAGACCCTCAGTTTTCGTAGAAATGATGACAGAAGGTTCTCCGGCATTGCTGCCCTTCTGAGTTCACCCTCCGTAGAATCTTCCTGGACCCCCCACTGCAGAAATCGGTTGTGTGTGTGAGTGAGCCATGCGCTGCTCAGTGCCGGGGTTGCAGGGGTGTGGTGTCTCCACAGAGAACTCCAGATGGTAGCTTCGGTAACGACACCATGTCCGGAGCATGCAGAGACTTAGTTGTGAGCTCACATCACTGCGTAGGTGGGACTCTGCCGGTAGCTGTAGGGAGCCGAGCCTCGCGCTTCTCTTGGATAGCAGCGTTTGGGGGAGCGGTGCTGCTTCCCGTTTTTCAAGTCAGGGACACAAGCTCTGCCTGCAGGTTGGGTCTTGACGCTGCTCTGTGCTAGACGGTCATGTGGAGGGACTGTTCTGGGCTTGGGTTAGGGTTTGTTTTTTTTTTTTGGTTTTGTTTTTTAACCTGTACACGTCAAGGAAAGGGTCGACCTTTTTATAACTGGTTTCTCCCTCTTGCCCAGTGCAAGAGGACTGTCTGAAGCCCCACATAGAAACGCCCGATGAGCGGCTGATTGTCCTGTATGTGTTTCTGAAAAGGGGTGGGTGGGGTGGGAACAGGGGTATGGATATTGCATAAGTTATTGAAATGCCGACCCCCAGTCAGGAAACATGCGACGCCTCCCCTCCCCTCCCCGGGGCTCAGGCACCTCGCTCCTGCCTGGCACACAGCTCCTGGGGCCCAGTGTCTGGAGCCTCTGCTCCTGCTGCAAAAGCCAGAGCCGTGTGAACCTTCTGGCCAGTACTGGAAAGGGGAATGCTATTTATTTTTATATTGTGTATATTTTGTCGTGGTCTGCTGATTTCCCTGTTTCACTGAGAGCGACACTTACCTCAATAACTAGTTCAATATTGTGTGTTGGATAATTTTTTTAAAAGAACTTTTTAAAAAGCTTTTTGATCCTTGGCGGTCTGTAGATTTATTTCCATATGAACTGGTTATTTTGTATAAAGTACGTTCTTAAAATAGCGAGGCTGCTGTGTGCGTGTGGTGTGTCCGTTCACATGTCATTTTCACAGCAGGCCAAACCCAGACTGCCATCAGGACAAGGCTGCCAGTGAAAACGCCATCCCGCATGTCCATTCTCGGGCATCAA